ATCTTGAAGGACGTGGTAGGCCACTGTTAGTGTTCTTACAGTAAACAGGGAACTGTTACAGTAGAGAATTGACAATCTGGTTTATATTTTGACAATCATCTTGGCTGCTAGTAAAGAATAGATGTAGGGAGACTGAGGTGGAAGCAGAAAGAACTTGTCCAGAGGCTATTGGAGTTCTGTAGGAGTTAGATGATGGCGACCTGGGCTACCAACTGGGAGTGGAGGAGTCAGGCTGGAGTTAAGGTGAGGGTGGGCCCGGATAAAGAGCCAGTGAGTACTGCATTACTATGAAAATGAGGGAACTGAGTCTGGAGCAGGTGGGTAGCGGGGAAGATCAGGAATTCAATTTGGTAGAGGTTTTGAGTTGTGTTTCTTTTTATTTTTACCTGCTCCATCTCCCTGCCAGGGGCTCCATCACTGCACCTGGGGGCTGCATCCTTCCAGTGAGGGAAGGAGGCACTCCAGCATGGCTGAGGAGAAGAAGCTGAAGCTCAGCAATACTGTGCTGCCCTCTGAGTCCATGAAGGTCGTGGCTGAATCAATGGGCATCGCACAGATTCAGGAAGAAACCTGCCAGTTGCTGACAGATGAGGTCAGCTACCGAATTAAAGAGATTGCACAGGTAACCAGGCCCTGCTGCCCAGCCCTGCTTTGTGTCAAGGATATTACCCAGGCCCGCTTCTTCCTCCTGGTCTTAGACTGATGGCTGATGTCTTTTCTCCTGTGCCCCTGCCTCCAGGATGCTCTCAAGTTCATGCACATGGGGAAGCGGCAGAAGCTCACCACCAGCGATATTGACTATGCACTGAAACTGAAGAATGTCGAGGTGACTGGGAAGGGAGGGAGGCGGCTGACCCAGATGGAGCAGGGTGGTTGGCTGCCATTCTCCCAGATGCGGTGCTTGCCTTTTGCCAGGCTCACGTCTCACTCTAGCATCTCTCTTTCCCTCCTGATACAGCCGCTCTATGGCTTCCACGCTCAGGAATTCATTCCTTTCCGTTTTGCATCTGGTGGGGGCCGAGAGCTCTACTTCTATGAGGAGAAGGAGGTTGATCTGAGTGACATCATCAATACCCCTCTGCCTCGGGTGCCTCTGGATGTCTGCCTCAAAGGTTAGCGGAGGAGCGGGCAGGGTGCCAGGGAGGAGGGGAAGGAGGAGCAAGGCGTGTTGGTGTGAGAAGCCGCACAAGTGAAGAAGTTCTCAGTGTGAATGGCAAGAACGGGAGCAGGAACCAGAACACATCTACCTTAGCACGGAGTGACTTCCTAGTGTCCATTTCTAGCAGTTCAGCTCAACAGCTTCCTTTCTCACAGCTCACTGGCTGAGCATCGAAGGCTGCCAGCCAGCTATACCGGAGAATCCACCCCCAGGTAAACTTTTCCATGCCTACAGCCCACTCCCTTCTCTCCCTACTCCTGCCTTGTTCCTGTACCTCTCTCCCCGCTCTCATCGCTCCTCCTGCTGTGACTCGTTTCCCACCAGCTCCCAAAGAGCAGCAGAAGGCTGAGGCCACAGAACCGTTGAAGTCAGCAAAGCCAGGCCAGGAGGAAGATGGACCCCTGAAAGGCAAAGGTCAAGGGGCCACCCCAGCTGATGGCAAAGGTCAGTGCTCGAGACCAGGCCTCTCCCAACTCTTAGCCCAGACCCGATGGTCATTTGTGAAGTGGGTAAGGCCAGCGCCAGAGTCCCAAAAGGCTCAAGAAACGTAAAGGAAGCCACATGGGCAGAACTGGCAGGTTCAGGTTTGTCTGCCACTGAGGCCTCTTCTGGAGCCTTCTTTTTTCAGACCCATCACTCAATTCACACAGGGAAAGAGAAGAAGGCCCCACCCTTGCTGGAGGGGGCCTCTTTGCGCCTGAAGCCTCGCAGCATCCATGAGCTCTCTGTGGAGCAGCAGCTGTACTACAAGGAGATCACCGAAGCCTGTGTGGGGTCCTGTGAGGCCAAGAGAGCGGTGAGGGCCCCACTCGCCTGCCGTGATCCCACGACTCCTTTTGCAGCCCTCGCAGATTACTCCCCACGATATCTGCCCTCAACCCACTTGCTTCCCTCCTCCGACAGGAAGCTCTGCAGAGCATCGCCACAGACCCAGGGCTCTATCAGATGCTGCCCCGGTTCAGTACCTTCATCTCAGAGGGGGTGAGAGGACCGGGAAAGCCAGGCCCAGGATAAGGCGTGGGGAGGGGTGGCAGGGAAGGTGATCTGAGGAGTCCCCCTGCCTCTCGCTTTCCCCTCCTGTAGGTCCGTGTCAATGTGGTTCAGAATAACCTGGCCCTGCTCATCTATCTGATGCGCATGGTGAAGGCACTGATGGACAACCCTACATTGTATCTAGAAAAATATGTGAGTGGTCCTGCCCGCCCTCCTCACTGCCACCCACAGGAAGCATTTGTCGGAATCCACCGACCCCCTGCTTCTACAGGTGCATGAGCTGATTCCAGCCGTGATGACCTGCATCGTGAGCAGACAGCTGTGCCTGCGACCTGACGTGGACAATCACTGGGCACTCCGGGATTTTGCCGCCCGCCTAGTGGCCCAGATCTGCAAGCATTTCAGCACAACCACTAACAACATCCAGTCCCGGATCACAAAGACATTCACTAAGGTGAGCCCCAAGAACCTGTTTCACATCACCACCCCAGGGTTGTCACCAGGATGACAAGGGCTTCACCCAGCCCTGTGGTGGGGCAGTTGTGCCTGGGGAAATGACACCTGGAACAAGAGGCTGAGGAACTAGAACTGGTGGGAGGTTGAGCTGGGGGCTTCAACCTCATCTGCAACATCTTCATAAAGTTTGTCTCTAGAAGACCTGACAATCAGGATGCCTATAGGGCAGAATTTGGGTCCCTTGGGCCCCTCCTCCTTGGACCTTAAGACTCATCTGGGTTTCTTTTCTTTCCCTGCAGAGCTGGGTAGACGAGAAGACTCCCTGGACAACTCGTTATGGCTCCATTGCAGGCCTGGCAGAGCTGGGACATGATGTTAGGCCCCTGGGGAGGAACAGCTGGGTGAGGGGAGGCAGTCTTGAAGTTAGGGGACAACTGCCACCCACCTGAGAGACCCCAGTGACCCCGTGGCCCCTGGCTTCTCTCCTCCCTTCCGAACAGGTGATTAAGACTTTGATTCTGCCACGGCTGCAGCAGGAGGGGGAGCGGATCCGCAGCGTCCTGGATGGCCCGGTGCTGAGCAACATCGATCGCATCGGAGCTGACCACGTGCAGAGCCTCCTTCTGGTGACCAGAGCCCCTGCCCAGCCCTCCCCCATTTCTCCCCACTGATCCCCCTCCCACACACATAAGTATAATGTTTAGCAAGCATCTGACACATTTTAGTCATTTATCCCCACCTTTGCTGCATATATTCTAAGCACCCTTCAGAGTCTGGTGCTGTTTTGCTGATGAAAAGACAGGCACAGGTGAGCTAAGAAATGAAGAGTCTTAATCACTGTATGACCCAGTGTTGCAGGGCAAACATGCTGCATCGGTTGACTGCCCCACAGATGTTACCAGTGCATATAGCAAGTCTTCCACTCACAGCAGTGGGTTCCCACGTTTCCTCTGAGGGAGAACCGCACCATTTCTTACACTCACTGACGGCCCTGCAGTTCCCAAGGGCGCAGTGAAACAGTGGGTATGTCTTCACACTCTCCTGCTTCTCTGCAGAAACACTGTGCACCTGTACTGGCTAAGCTGCATCCCCCGCCTGACAATCAGGATGCCTATAGGGCAGAATTTGGGTCCCTTGGGCCCCTCCTCTGTTCCCATGTGGTCAAGGCCCGGGCCCAGGCTGCTCTGCAGGCACAGCAGGTCAACAGGACCACACTGACCATCACACAGGTCGGTTGCTATGGAGGGGGGCAGGAAATAAGGATGCATGGGTGCGACATGGCCATGGTGCCCAGGGACGGGGATTTATACAGACCCAGGGACACAAAGGCCCTGAGGCAGCACAGTCTCAGAGAGCCTGGGCCCCATCAGTGAAGGATGTCCCAACCCCAGAGAGAACTACGGAGGAACAGCAAGAGCAGCTGGGTCTCCATTCAGGCCTTTCCTTTTCCTAGATGCTGACGTTTTCTTCTTGCCTCTTCCCTCACAGCCCCGGCCCACACTGACCCTGTCTCAGGCCCCTCAGTCTGGCCCTCGGACCCCTGGCTTGCTGAAAGTCCCTGGCTCCATCGCACTGCCCGTCCAGACACTGGTGTCTGCACGGGCTGCTGCCCCACCTCAGCCTTCCCCTCCTCCAACCAAGTTTATTGTAATGTCGTCATCCTCCAGCGCCTCATCCACCCAGCAGGTATGTGGCACCTGGGACTAGGGATGCAAAGAGCATGCTGAGCAGCCTGGGTCACCTCAGAGCTTTTTAGGGAGGCCTCAGAGTAGATGCCAGTCCCCTCCAGGCCCAAAGCCAGGAGATGGAAGGGCCACTCAGCAGGGTCTCTTAAGTTGTTAAGTTTGCATCAGTCTACACAACCCTGAAGATGGAAACCCTTCATGGGGTGGGGCAGGGTGATCTGCACTGCCTGCCTTTCTCCTTCAGGTCCTGTCCCTCAGCACCTCAGCCCCTGGCTCAGGATCCACCACTACCTCTCCTGTCACCACCACGGTCCCCAGCGTGCAGCCCATTGTCAAGCTGGTCTCTACCGCCTCCACTGCACCCCCCAGCACGGCCCCCTCTGGGCCTGGCAGTGTCCAGAAGTACATCGTGGTCTCATTGCCCCCAACAGGAGACAGCAAAGGTGGCCCTCCCTCCCATCCTTCTCCAGTCCCTCCCACCTCATCTTCCCCCTCTCCGCTCGGGGGCAGTGCCCTCTGTGGGGGGAAACAGGAAGCTGGGGACAGCCCGCCTCCAGCTCCCGGGACTCCAAAGGCGAATGGTTCACAGCCCCCTGGACCTGGCTCCCCTCAGCCCGCTCAGTGATAACGCCGTCCGCCTGCTGGCCTCTCCCGTGGATTCCTATGTGCGTGCGCAGGAAAGCAGGGTGGAAGAAAGAGTAGGCTTGTTTACCCCACATGACTTTCTTTTTAGATACTGTACAGTCACTTCCTCAGAATAAAAGTCAGTTTGTAAGTTCTGAGCCTTCCAGTGTGAGATACCATCGAAGGGGCAAGTCCCTGGACTGGCTTCTCAGGACTCTCCTACTCACACCCTGAGCAGCAAGCCAGGACTCCAAGAAAGAAAACACTGAACTCTTCTCATTTGTCTGCCTGCTGCCTTCGCTTTCACGCCCTGTGTGGGGAGCCTCAGATCCGAATGACATAGGCATCGCTGTGGCTTAGGTGGCGTACCCACTTGTGGGGGTTGGCGTTGCCACTGGGCCTGAAGGTCAGCCTGAGGAAGCGAACCTGGAGGCCAGAACACGTGTGCCGGGGGAGTTCGAAGGACAGGCTTGCGGGGCCCAGCCCCAGTGGAGGGGATGAGGTGGAAGGCCCATGGCCAGAGGCTCCCAGTGAGCTGGGAACGTCCATCTGTGAGGAAAGAGGAGAAGGAGGCCCTGAAGCCAGGCAGCTGCCTGCGCTGCTGGGAGCAGGGCAGCAGCTGCACCAGAAAGGCTGGCATGGGAGCCCCGAGTGGAGGTGGGACGGTGGGTGCAGGAGGGTCAACAGGGGTACCTGGAAAAGGCCTGAGAGTTGAGAGCCTCCTTGTATCCGGGGTAGGTCCCAGTGAAGAGCTCCCTCCCCCAGCTCTGCCTTCTGCTCTGGGCTGCTGAGCTCCTGAGACAGGCTAGAGTGTGGAGAGACATGGTCCAGGGCTCAATGGTGCCTGCCTTGGCAGAGCAGTCTCCCCCCAGGGAACCTTCCCGGGGAGCACGCACTAACCTGACCACCCCTCGTGGCAGTGGAAGGTGCAGTCTGATGTTGACAGCTTGGCTGCAAAAAAAGGAATGTGGTTAGCGCCAGGAAGGCAGCGTCCCTTGTCCCTGTTCTTCTTCAGTGTCACAGTGGAAGTTCGGCACAGGTGCCTAACATCTCCCTGCCAAACGCTACAGCCTCTAAACTGGATTAAGCTTCTGAGGTTGTGAGACGCAGTTGAAGGAGTAAGTGGTAGGTTCCTGGCTCTGACTCTGACCCTGTCTTCTGTCCTACACTGCTGAGCCAGGCCTGGCTGACCCCCACTCTTACCTCTTTGGGGGCAGGTCACACCGTAACTTCAGGTAAATCTGGAGCCTGGATAAGAGGGCAAAGTACTATTATTTAGGCCAGATCCTATTGGCATCTTACCGTTACTCACCCAGGGCCTTCTCACGAGGCTGCACAGAATACACCCCAAGAAAGAGGAGGGCTAAAATCCAGCCCAATGCCACTGGTCAAGTCTTTTTCCAATTGCTGCCCTATCACCTTTATCACCACCCTTCCATACTAAGTCTTGGGAACATCTATGCCTTGCGTTGGCTTGATTTCCAGAGTGGTTCTGGAACACAGGAAATGGTCTCACCGGCCTGAGCCTTGGTCCCACTGCACAGAGGGAAAGAGCCGGAAAGGGAGCGGGGAGGGGAGGTCATCAGAGAGCTGGTACCGCATCACAGTCAGCTGAAACCAGAGAGGAATGAAGTCAGCTTAGTCTCACCCTTCCACCGCCTCCCTCCCGTACGATGAATACAGTATGCTGGGCTCTCCTGATCCTGACCTCGCCCTGGGGTGGCTGCAAGCGGAGGATCCGATGAGACTCAAACTCGTCCAGGTTTACTGAGCTGTGAAATGAGACTTCATCAACCCGAATTCCTGGCCCATAACCTGCAAACAGAGACTCCTGTCCTAATCCATGCTTTGAAAGAGAATGACTAGGTCGGGGAGGTCCCATCTCCAATTTTTCTCCCTGAAACTTGGAAGTGACCTCCCCTGATGAGAAAGACCTCTCAGTCTTTTTCACCTCTCAGTTCTGATTTTCCCACACAGAATTCTTCTGTCAAGCCGATGCGCATCTCTGTTGGAGGAAAGAACGTCAGACAAGGTCAGAAAACACCAAGGAGCCTGTCCCAAACCCAACTCCTAGGTCCTCACCAGAGCCACTGGGAAGGAAGCTCTTGAGCCGGAGCTCTCCTTGCACATCCACCTTCAGTGGTGATCCCTGGAAGGGGCAGGGAGGTTAGTGCCCAGTTGTGACCTCCTGGACCTATTTTCCAAGTACCACTTGTCTTCAGCTCTGGAGTTGGGAGCCCACACTTACATTCGATGCTATCAGTACTGACAATCTCTCCACTACATCCAAAAAAACTTCATTCTTTTGGCTCTGGGAAAGAAAGGGGATTTGAGTGGTGGAGGCTAAAGACCTGCATTCTAAAGTGAACAGCCAGAAAGAACAGGGTAACTGAAGTAAAGCCCTGGGACGGAGGAGTAGGAGAAGGGGTACCCACGTCTAGGGCAGTGGAAAGACAAGCCAGGATCTTGGATTCTGGTGTCCCAGAAAAAAAGTCTAAAAGTCTGACCTCAGTGATCCCTCCCTGACCTGGTCAGAGCGACTGGAAAGGACTGGGCGGCTGGCCGCGCTGCTGGGGGCCACTTTGCTCTGTTGTGTCTCTGCCCCAAACTGTAAAACACCCAAAGCGACCAATTCTCAGCTTTGAAGCTCCCCAGCAGCCTGCCTTCTCCCTTCCTTCCCTGATACTGACCAAGCCAACACTGCTGAGATCAAAGAGGCTGAAGGGCTTGCTGACCACAGCTTCCGTCTGGATGAAGTTTCTTAGCATCTCTGTGGATGTGGTCTGTACGTAGCCATAGTCCTAGTGGTGAAGAAGGAAGGACAGATAGTTTTGAAGTGGTCAGTGAAGGAAATGGGTGGAAAAAGCGTGGAATTAGCCCCCCAACCACAAGATCCCACAGTAGAAGAGTGGTTGTATCTCCCTGGGGAACAGGGGAGAGGAAAGGAAAAATCACTGGTCCTTACCAGTACTTCATCGAGGAGTTCATAGACAAGAGCCACGTTTCGGGAGATGGTCCCTTCACTGAGGGAGCCACAGTAGTCGCCCAGGAGGGTAGCTAACCTGAGGAAACAGAGCAAAGTGTGGACTGATCCTTCTCTCAGGCCCCTACTTTGGGGTCCAGCCCAGCCCTCCTCACCTGGAGAGCAGCTCTAGGAGGCTGAAGGGAGAAACGTTTTCTGAAGTCGTGGCAACTAAATAGAGACCGCTATGTCTGATGTGGATGAAATGACGGTCCTCATGGTACTGAGTGGGGGGGAGTTAGGAAAAAGGGGTTATAGTGATCAAAGCTCCAGAAGATTCCAGGTTCTACCCTGATATCCCCTGCTAGACAGTCGCAGTGTGGCTTTAGACGATCTCTGAAACATCCGGAAGGCCAGAATTCCTCATGTGCAAACAGTGTTAATACTAGTACCAACTCTACAGTTCTTTAGGATTGAGCCTGGCAAGGGGTTGCGCCTGGTGTACTGTCAACGCCCAATACACTTTTCTTAGTTATATTTGGGGAAAGAATACTCCTCAGTGGAAACTTCAAAAAAAAAAAAAACAAACCACAAAAAAACCCCAGCCCTTAAAAGGGAAGGAAAAAGAACCCACTACTCAACCTCCCCACCGCACCCGCCCGCGGACTGGTTACCATGACAACCGGGGACTCGTCTCCGGGCAGTCCCGTCAGCTTCCGGTAGAAGAGCTCGGCCACATCCCGGCCACCACTGTCCCCACGGACTGGCCGGGTGGAAGGACAGTTAAGGAGCAACCGACACCGACGGCCCTGAGCTCACCTCCCAATCAGCCGCTCCATCCCGCTCCGTGTCACAAGGATACAGTCTTTGTAGATGAGTGGGTCTCCCTTGGAGGACAAGATGAAGAACTGAGAAATCATGGCTGTTCTGGAGAGTAGACCAGCAGAGGGTGAAAGTTGGGCCTGCCCCGCCCTGCGGCCCCGGAACAAAAGGACGCGCGTGGGTTGGCCCTTTAAGAGCGACTCACCTCCTCCCGCGTCAGCTGGGACCGCGGGAAACCCGGCTCCCGCCCCGCCCCTCCCGGCGATTCCTTCTCCACCTGCCCGCCGTCTTCGCGTCACTCAATCCAGCCTTGCTGGGTGATTGGTGAAGGGTGGAGCCTGCGGTGGGTGGGCGGGGCGAAAGGCCAGCCTTTCTGATTGGCCCGCGAGCAGCGTAGTCGGTCACGTGGGAGGCGACGTTTCGCGCCAATTTCGGTTGGTTCTGCATAGTCCTGTGCGTGGCCGTTTTCTGTTTCCCGGGAGTCAAAACTACTACTTTTGCCAGCTGCTGCCGAACGGCCACCGGTAGCGATGGCACTGAAGGACTACGCACTTGAGAAAGGTAAGGATCTGCAAGCCTGGGAGGGGGGCTCTGCGCGAGAAGCTCCTGGCTGACACCTGTTGGTGTGACTTGGGGTCGCGGTCGGCGGGCTCTGGGTTGAGCGAGGCTAGAGGTACAGCTGAGCGGCGACGGTGCGAAACAGACGGTGCGCAGGAGGCGCACGGGGGAGCGTCGGGGCCGAGGAAGAGCAGTCCTGCCCGGGAAAGGCGTTGGGGTCGTAGGAGGGATAACTCGGCTGGGGTTGCAGAGAAGGAAAGGGTGGTATCCAGAAAAGGAGAGCTAGGCCGTGAGGGCTCCGGGCCTCAGGGATGGGGGCTTTAGAGCCGCCTCCCTCCAAGCCTTGGGGGACTCGCCAGTTCCCGCGTCCGGCCAAGACCCGCCGAAGCCCCAGGGGCGGGCAGGCGGGGGCCGCTGCGCGCTGCGATTGGCCAGTTCCAGCCGCCCTCCGAGCGGAAGTGGAGGCGGGCGGAAGTGGCGCGATGCAGTCGAAGGGAGTGTCGTCGGTAAACAGTGTCCTTCCGCGCAGTGGCCTCGGAGCAGCTGCCAAGGGTGGGGGCGTGCCTGGAATTCGGGGATTTAGCGCGAACCCGCCAGGGGCGGCAGAGGGTTGGAACTAAGTGGCCCTGGGCGCGCTAGCCAATCGTCGGACGGACTCCCGCCTCGGGCGGAGGAATCCCAGGCGGTGAGGCGGCTGGAATCCGAGCCCATGTGCTTCTTTGTTTACTAAGAGCGGAAGCAGTGGCGGGAGCGGGGGTGGGGTAGAGGACTGGTCGGGTAGAGGTGCGGGCGAGAGCGCGGATTTAGAGACTCCGTAGAGAAAGAGGAGTCACATAGATGGAAGGAGAGCTGAGAGCATTGAGATCTAAGCGTGTTGTGGGACGCGGGAGGCCGTTGGAGAAGGGTGCTGAGATTCTTAACTAAGGCAAAGACTGGAATTCCCCCGGGGAGGGTGTTGGTGAGACTGGTAACTGCCAGGGGCCGAATATTTTGGGCTTAAAACAGACTTGGAAAAAGGAGTCCTCCCCTTTTTGGGGAGAATTATGTAGGTTTACTTACACGTTTGCATAATTAACGAGTGAGTCCTATTTAAAGCAAAAGTGGGTTTTTAGGCTTCTCTTAGGGATTTGCAGTAAGGAGTCCAAAAGAAAGATTGCTTCTTGTGATTTTTACGTTTACCTTGTAGAAAAGATTAAGAAGTTTCTGCAGGAATTTTACCAGGATGACGAATTTGGAAAGAAGCAGTTCAAGTATGAGAGTCAGTTGGTAAGTCCAACACGGGGAAGGGAGTTTGGAAGGGAGTGGCGCTTAGGGAGCTGTTAAGAGGTGGCTGGTTTGTCTCAGCAGGTACATTGGTCTGTAAGTGATCTGTATAGTAGGGTACTTGATAATGGTATAATGTTACACTGTAATAACCAAGGTGCTTTGAGGACTTGGGAGGTAGGCCGTCCTAGGAGTCAGGGACATGAGTATTGCTGGCCTGTGCTGCTGTTTCTCTTTGTGAATGACCAGACTACTGAGCTCACAGCAGTGGGTTTGGGGGTTGAACAGATTAAACTTGGCCCTGAGGTGTTCTGCCTTTTCTCAACCCCAGGTTCGGCTGGCTCATCGGGAACAAGTGGCAATGTACGTGGACCTGGATGACGTAGCTGAAGATGACCCTGAGTTGGTAGACTCAATTTGTGAGAATGCTAAGCGCTATGTGAGGCTCTTTGCTGATGTTATACAAGAGCTCCTGCCTCAGTACAAGGAGAGGGAGGTAAGTGGTTGTACAATACTGCACAGCAAGGAAACCAAGTTTTTGAGACTTCCTGGGTCCCAGTGGTTTGTGAGCTAGCAGAAAGAGGGCACTGATTTCTCCCTGGTGCCCTCTATGCTCTCCTTTCCTCATCTTTTTGTTACTTGAGATACCTTGCTGCGCAGTTCTGGCTGGCTTTGAGCTCATGGTGATCCATCTGCCTCAGCCTCCAAGTACTGGGATTACAGTTGTGCGCCACCATACCCAGCCTCCTTTCCTCATCTTGCCTGCCTGAGGACTCTTTTCTTTGCCTGTTTTTCTTGCTATAGGTTGTAAATAAAGACGTTCTGGATGTTTATATCGAACACCGGCTGATGATGGAACAGCGGAGCCGGGACCCTGGGGCAGCACGAAGCCCCCAGAACCAGTATCCTCCGGAGCTCATGCGCAGATTGTGAGTGTCACTGTGGGAAGGAGCGGGGACTTTTTTTCCTGGACCTTACTGATGGCAATTTTTTCTCCTTTAGTGAGCTGTATTTTCAAGGTCCAAGCAGTAACAAGCCTCGTGTGATCCGGGAAGTACGGGCTGACTCTGTGGGAAAGTTGGTAACTGTGCGTGGAATTGTCACTCGTGTCTCTGAAGTCAAACCCAGGATGTTGGTGGCTACTTATACTTGTGACCAGTGTGGGGCAGAGACCTACCAACCGGTATGTGTAAGGCATGGGACAAAGAACGCACTTGACTGTGCTGGTCATTTTTGTACAAAGTAATTTTATCTGTTGGTGTTAATCTGTTCTTTACTGTAGTTAGTGTGAAAGATGCTTACATACTTGCTTTGCTTTCTTGGGTACATAGTGGTATCCTGTTTTACTGGTTTTTGTCATCATTAATCCAGAATAGTTTAGGGAGTTCTTGATACTTGTAAGGCGTTTGCTGTGGATAGGAAATAATTCAAGTTATGGCTATAAGGAGTTTTCCCTCTGATTTTCCTTGCTGCTTCCTTTTTCTCATGTCCTAGATCCAGTCTCCCACTTTCATGCCTCTGATCATGTGCCCGAGCCAGGATTGCCAAACCAACCGCTCCGGGGGACGGCTGTATTTGCAGACACGTGGCTCCAAGTTCATCAGGTTCCAGGAGATGAAGATGCAAGAACATGTGAGTTTGCGGGTATTTGGCCTTTGGCAGGTGAAGCACAGCAGTCAGTTGAATCCTTTTCTCACTTATGCAGAAGGAAAAAACAAAAAAGGGAAGAGCTGAGGCAGGAAAGTCACCTAATGCAGGGTGGCAGTCTGACTGGGGTTTTCTGAGTGAATTGGGAAGAGGTGAAGGCCTCAGTTTCCCTCAGGCTGATCTGAAGCGGGGCAGACTGAGCAAAGTCGTAAGAGCGTCATTTGTAGGAGTGAAGTTTGGGCCCCTGTGGTCTTACGTCATTTTCTGTTTTTCCCATGTACTCTCTGCCAGAGTGACCAAGTGCCTGTGGGAAACATCCCTCGAAGTATCACAGTGATAGTGGAAGGAGAGAACACAAGGATTGCCCAGCCTGGCGACCATGTCAGTGTCACTGGTATCTTCTTGCCGGTCCTGCGCACAGGGTTCCGACAGGTAGTCCAGGTAAGAAAGGGACTCTTCTTCTTCCCTTCAGAGAAAACTAACAGCAGTGTATCACCAAAGTAGAACAGAGGGGTTTGTGAAGAGACCGTTACGGAATCAGGTGGTTGGCAAGTTAGAGGATTTCATTTGCAGCCCAGTGCTCTCTCGTCCCAAGGGCTTACTCTCAGAAACCTACCTGGAGGCGCACCGGATTGTGAAGATGAGTAAGAGTGAGGATGATGAGACTGGGGCTGGAGAGCTGAGCAGGGAGGAGCTGAGGCAAATTGCAGGTGAGGGGCCAGGGGAGAGAACGGGGTGGGATCCAGCTTCATCCTAGCGCTTGTCCCCCAGGAAATAATGTACTTTCCTTGCAGAGGAGGATTTCTATGAAAAGCTGGCCGCTTCTATTGCCCCAGAGATCTATGGGCATGAAGATGTAAAGAAGGCACTCTTGTTGCTGCTGGTGGGTGGCGTGGACCAGTCTCCTCGAGGCATGAAAATCAGAGGTACGGTGGAAGAGGACAGGCTTTCGGGAGATGAAGTCAGGTGGGAGGAAAACAAAACAGTGATGAGTTAGCGTCCGTGTAACTCACGAAATAAAATCTGGTATCTCAGCTCGATGGCTGCATGAGTGCTGTTCGGAACTGGTAATGTGAAGTACAGGCATGAGGCAAACATGTTCGACCGCGTGCAGTGGGGGAATGGTCGCACGTGGCTTCTTTCTCTTCCAGGCAACATCAACATCTGCCTAATGGGGGATCCTGGTGTAGCCAAGTCTCAGCTGCTGTCTTACATTGATCGCCTGGCACCCCGCAGTGAGTAGGGACAGCTAGAGCACGGAGTTTGTTGAAAAGGCTGTGGTTGGGAAGTGGAGACCTGCAGGGGGGTGATGGTGGGGAAAGGGAAATGTTGCTGGCTCAGCACCCCCACTTGCAGCCACCTCAGGAAGTCCTGGCCTGGAGAGAGCAGTTCCAGTACAGGCCTTACCTTACTAGCCCCATTGCCTGTGTGCTCACCCTGTGCTTCCTTCTTTCTTCCTTCCCATTCTCTGAATGTCTGCTGCTCTCTTCCCCTCTAGGCCAATATACAACAGGCCGGGGCTCCTCTGGCGTAGGGCTCACGGCTGCCGTTCTGAGAGACTCTGTGAGCGGAGAGCTGACCTTGGAGGGTGGGGCCCTGGTGCTGGCTGACCAGGGCGTGTGCTGCATTGACGAGTTTGACAAGATGGCTGAAGCTGACCGCACAGCCATCCACGAGGTCATGGAGCAGCAGACCATCTCCATTGCCAAGGCCGGCATCCTCACCACACTCAATGCCCGCTGTTCCATCCTGGCTGCTGCCAACCCTGCCTATGGGCGCTACAACCCCCGCCGCAGCCTGGAGCAGAACATACAGCTTCCGGCTGCACTGCT